GAAGGCTCCAAACAGTTCTATCTCTATGGGATTGCTGATTTCTGTTTCCACTTGGAAAATATTTTGATTTGATTACCAATCAGAATTTGAGAGTTCCATGTTTTAACATCTATTGTGATTTTACTTCTTGTTTGATATAGCTATTTTTTTTTTAAAGCAACCCAACGGTCGGCCAAATTCTATTTGATACATGTTATTATTGGAATTTCTTAAATACTTATGATTCGTAATTTTTATGTTTTAATTATGGTTTTAATATTAGGAAAAGACTATTTTCATTTGGAAACATTGCTATTTACATTTACATGCCAATACTGCTAGACATCAGATCGTCCGAGTCGGGTATCAAATCTGAAACCTTTGATTAAAATTTTATAGCTTTATAACCATTAATCTACGGCTGAACCCATTGTGAATTCAATATCGAATCTCGAAACATTTGAACGTTGCATTATTGTAATAGAATTTTTATATTCTCATTTTTAGCAACCAGAACTTCCTTCTTATGAGATTTTGTACTTGAACTTTCCGTTTTTCTTATATTTAGATTGCCACCCAATGGATAAAGTATCTGTATTTGATTATTAGAATTTATCTAATAGTAATCATATATTATTTTATTAGATGCATCAATATTAGAAGAGGGTTTTTTTACTTAGAAAAATTTCCAAGTGAAAAGAATACCATCGTTGTAGTCTAATTACGATATTCCTACTGTAAATGCAAATCAAATAATTTTGATCTTCATATTGCTGAATTATAAGCAATTATCTTTGTGTTAATAAATTATTATGAATAATTTTCTGATGAATTTTGAAAAGACATTTTCACTTCAAAGTTGTAAGTTTAATGTGATATGTACACGATTGAGCAAAGAATAAACCTAATTAAATAAAATTAATTTTATTGCATTATTACTTAATAAATAAGCTTCTAAACAATTTTTCATATTACTAACAATAAATGAGTATTAAAAAAGATCAAAAATCATTCTAAAATCGAAGTATTTAAAATCGAAGGGCATTGCATACGCACTAGGGAGCATGCTTGCCCGTTGATGGTACATATTGCATTGGAATTTGTGCACGAAAATTATTTTAAAGTGAATATAACAATATATTATTACAAAAACTTGAAATTTAGATTAATAATTATTGCTAATGATATGATAAAATTATTTTTTTATATTATAATTTATATTTTTTGGCATATTAGACCCTGCTACTTCATATAGATTACATGGACAAATTTCTGAAAAAATATTTATTAAAGCTGTTTATGGATCAAGATTTCATTATTGAATTATAACGATAAGTCAACTCAAATTAATAAATGACTTAATGCTCGTAAATTATCTTCATTTTGTGAAAATCTTATGATTATATATTATGATCGAGTTCTATTGTTTCATGATGGCTTCGAGTTAGTTAGCATTTATTTGCATTGAAGGGGTACATGATAAAAATTTAATTGTAGTAACCGGAGAACTTAATAGTTTGATGGCTAGTGGTAGTGAAAATTAATTTTATTTTTATACTTCCAAAGTGTAAATATTCATACCTATCTATCTGAGGAGTTTCTTATATATTTTTTCATACCGTTTTATGATTTTCATAAATGTGTTTTACAAACTTGAAACTGATCAATTTGTTATACATAACAAACTTATAATAAAATTTGTGTTTAATTTTACTATCAAAATTCTAGTAAATACATACATTTTATGCATTAGTTTCTAACATCTAATCGAATGAAATCAATTTCACTGTGCTAATAAATGATAATTATTTACAACCAATGCAGAAGCAATATTTACTCATGATAGTTCAAAACATTCTTTTCGAAAATTTATAAAAAATCAATGTACACATAAGCTATTTTGTAATTAAAAAAAAATGAATTCCTCAGTGGTATAAAAATAAAGCAAAGAAGCGAATTTCGTATAATTATATATATAATTGTATATATATATATACATTTTTGTAAAATCTATTAAATTTTATCTATTTTTATTTGACTGCCAGATTCTATTTTTGAAACAGTATAAATTAAACTTATTGAACTATATTATACATATTTATTAGTATTATTATACATACTATATAATTATAAAATACCAAATTTTGTATGTAGCTTTAGGCAAACATTGAAGTAGATTGATGTAAATTTTAAGCATTTTCTAAACTTTGTTGTTTATTTTTGTTTAGGAAAAGTTATAGGTTTTTCTTATCGCTTTTAAATGGTTTTGCCTTAAAATTTTTCATCAGCTCTTTGCTTAAATGAAGGAATGCCACTGGCTGAGCGTTCTTTCTGACATACAGGTAATATGATGATTACGCGGTCGCTCATTCTCAGACGGACATAACACGATGCTTATGAGCACATATTAATATATACGTATATATATATATATATATATATATATATATATATATATATATATTTATATATATTATGCACGGCAGAGACCTATTAGTTAATTCTACGAGAGATAAATTAAATTAAAAGTTATTCCAACTTTGCTGATGAATATTTCTGACGAAATACCAGATCAAGGTTATATACAGTGTTATATATATATATATATTTTATATATATTTATATATATTTATATATATATATATATTTATATATATTATGCACGGCAGAGACCTATTAGTTAATTCTACGAGAGATAAATTAAATTAAAAGTTATTCCAACTTTGCTGATGAATATTTCTGACGAAATACCAGATCAAGGTTATATACAGTGTTATATATATATATTATATATATATTTATATATATTTATATATATTTATATATATATATATATTTATATATATTATGCACGGCAGAGACCTATTAGTTAATTCTACGAGAGATAAATTAAATTAAAAGTTATTCCAACTTTGCTGATGAATATTTCTGACGAAATACCAGATCAAGGTTATATACAGTGTTATCTTTGTAAAAAAAATGCCCATGATATTTATATTTTTTATTGGTTAATTTATGTTGCTATTATTTAAGACATTGGACCTGTTTGCCCCTAAAAAAGACCAGGAGACAAATTTTTGAGAAATAGTTAAAATACACATTTCTACAATTATGAATTAGTTGTGATATCTTTAGTTTGGTTTTCACAATATAGTTGCTCAAAGTCAAATTGGACCTTTGTGCCCTGCCCCACCCTATCCTACATAACTATTTAGTTCTACGCAGTTTCAAAATATTTAAAACAACTTAATTAAATAAATAATAATTCATGAGAAATTAAATTTATTAATGATAAAATATATAGATTAAACAAAATTACTATTAATAGACGATATAAAATATAATATTATGCTCATACAATAATAAGATTCTAATATATATTTAATAAGTGAATATTTTAATATATATAAGAAATATAATAAGTGAATCCCAAAATATATTAATTAAAAAAAGTGTTATAACCAGCTCTAGCCCCCCTATATTATCATAAAATTACATAACATTTGATTTTCTTAATTTTCTCTTCATTTTCTTCATATATGTGTGTTGTTATTCAGTTCTCATTCCAAAAAGGTCAATATGCACTTGACCGTAGCAATGCCTTCGTTTATCAAGAAAGTTATGCATTCCATTTGCGACAAGTTTATTTTTACGAACAGAAATTGTTCGAATAAGGGTTATTAAATCTGTGTATTAATTAATTATATAATTCTGTACGTGGTTAATAAGAGTACAGAAATTGTCATACTTTTTTTAAACTTGAAATGCTAAGAAAGACGTTGTCTATCCCTGTATTAATTTTTGCAAATTTTCGTATTCCTATGTTATTTTTAACGATTTTGCCGTGCGTGACAGTCCGGCTTGTTCGCCAATTTGCAATTTGATCTAGTGCAGTTTCGAAACGTATCGCGAATTAAAAGTAACAGCAGTTATTTTTTGCGTTCTGTTTTTTGTTCATATTTTGGTTGCTGCTACATCACGCACTTTTATTACGTAAATTGCATTGAAATTTGGAATTAGAATCTTTGTAGTTATGTAAAATATGTTCTCGAAATGCTTGTAATAATTTTTGTAATTTAATTACATCTCTTAAATTATATGGTTATAAACTGCATTTATTGTTTTGAATCCAGCGCCTGTGATTACTGCAATTACGGTGCTACTAATTAATTATGCTATTATTATATCGCATTACGCTAAATTATTTGTAACAATGTACAGTGCGTAATCATCGAGTTATGGGTATGTTAGAGAAGAAATCTCATCAACGGCATTTCAGATCGACGTTTAATTTGCCAGCAGGCAAGAGATTAATTAACATTAATGAGCTCACAAGTCGAACAGGGAGAATATTGCTCATGCTGCGGGTAAAGCGAGTAAAGCGAGTAAAATGATTCAAAAGCTCCACGGAGCGGGAACGATGTCTGCGCCTCGATCGCAAACAATCGACCCAAACGCGATCCCGCTTTTGCGTTTGCGTTTGCGTGTGCGTGTGCGCATGTGTGTGTTCGCGCACCAAAGCCCGTTCCATAATAACATAATCATCATAAATAATAAATATATCAAACCATCCCACAAATAATGAGCATATTAAAATCCAAGTCACGGCTGCGTTATCCCCACGCTCGTCGACGGCCGTTCCCCACACGCGACCCTGCAGTCGTTTTGCTTTGCTCTCGGCATTGGGCCGTTCTCGAGCTGGAAGGGAGCATAATTAGTAGATTGGAAGTCCTGGGCCACTCCTTCGGCGCTCGCAAGTCCCTCCTCGACGAACGCCCCGCGGGTCATGCACGGCACCATCCGGCTGAAGCAAGAAGGCGACTGTCAGTGTCCCTAGTGCCAGTGACCAGTGCGACCGCGTGTTACATAGTGTTGTACCGACTTGTTCGAAATCACAATTATTTACGTTTATTGACCGCTCATAGTGATGTGTGCGCGTGTCTTTGCCCGCTCGGCGGCCCGTTGACGGCACTGACGGACGCGGAAATACATTTTTTTGATTGAATCGTACTTAAAAAAAAATGGAGGACTCGTTGAGAGTGGCACGGCGCGATGTCGACATCGAGGATATGGACAACGCCAGCTGCTGCAGCGGTGACACAGTGCTGTCCGTCGGCCAGGAGAGTCCTTCGCCCGCAATGGCATACCGCGGCATTCACAGCCACCTTAGCGCAATCTCCCAGATTACGCACGATTTACGCAATGGCGCCTCTTTGATGCTTGCAGCTGCCGGCGGTTGCGGTCGCGGCGACAGATCGCCTCTTTCGCCACATACTCCGCAATCGCCGCTATCGCTCCAATCGCCCAGATCTACCAATTCACCTCATTCTCCAGGATCGTTGCCATCTCCGCGTGCTACTGAGCCGCTTCCCGATCCCAATGAGAACAATAACCTGAAATTTAGCATAGATAATATATTGAAAGCTGATTTCGGCAGAAGAATAACCGATTCGCTGAAATCACGATCGGCAGCAAAAAATAAAGCGCTTCTGGCTGCGGCGAGAGCGCATCATCGGCAGAGCACGGCGGCCGCCGGTTCGGCGTTACCTGCGGGACAGGATTCCGATGGTGTGCCCACAAACAGGAGCGAAAAATCAGGATCGATACAAGATCTTTCCTGTACGACGGAAAGCACGCGGGCTGGCTCTGATGCCGGCGGACCTATGGTGTGGCCTGCGTGGGTCTATTGCACCAGATACAGCGATCGGCCTAGCTCAGGTATTGTTCTCACCAAATCTCTCTAGCCCTTCTATTAATAGGTATTTTGTTAAAAATATACAGTTTGTGGTTCAACATCGATTTAGTCGTCAGTCTTAATCAATAAATATAAGTTTATAATTTTCTTTATGAAATTGAAAATTGCAGCTTAAAATTGCAGCTCATAAAATCAACCCCTCTCGTAAGTGCAGTTAATAAATATATTACTAATCTGATGATAACTACTTAAATATAAAAATTAATTAAACTGTTAAATATGAAGTTTTAAACACAACACTATACATTTAATATTGATACAAATTCATATGTAGAACAAATACTTGCTATCATCCATAAATCATCCAATCACTTTATATGTGACAAAGTGTCTTAATGAGTGAAAACAGCTCATGTAGTGATACAAAATGAATTAAAATAATAATAAATATATATTTCAGTTCAACAAAATTCTAAATTTTTTGCATCTTAATTAATATTTTTCATTTTATTCACAAAACAATAATTTTAGAATTAAATATCAATATAACTCAATATAATCAAATTTATTAGTAATAAATAATATATACATGCAATGTATAGGAATTATTTTAATTTACAATCCCGTCTTTAAAAGAAATATATTAACATTAAATGTATCATAAATTATACATCATTTACAAGCTTATAATAAGCCGATGGTAACCGATGCAAAAAAGAAAAAATAGACATGTAAAAGTCTGTTATTCTGAACGATAAAATAAATGGTACATATACTTTTAAAGATTATTATTATTTTTCAACTGCCTTTAAATTAACATAAACAGACATATTGTAAAAATATTTTGAATGGAATATTGAATGTCTATTATGTATAAAATCATTAAGGAATCTTTAGTAATAATTATCATTAGCCAACGAGACCTGACCCATGACCGCAAATAGAATAGAAGCTTACAATATTAGCAATTTACTACAAGCTCCGAGCTGGGAAAATACTCGAAATAAATTTGAAAATATTATTTATATTGTAGTAATAGAAATAATATTGTTTGAAATGTTTTTTGCAATTTATAACTATTATATTTGATTAGTGTCATCTTATTCGATTGATTTCTAGATTTAGCACGATTGCAATCTATTTTTTATACATGCTCATTGTGAGTTAGAAAAAAAACTACTATACCAATAATTGAAGCCTGTAAAGAAATCTATTCTCAATACTCAATTGCTGTCAGAACTATTTATATCAACTTTTTTACAATAGTAAATTTTTTACATACCTATTTGCAAAAATATTTAATGAATCATACTAAAATTTCCGTATCATTAAACATTTTTTTTGTTAATTTATAAATTAATCTGTTATTGACAAATTATGAATGAACATATATCGAAATTGAAGAAATTCTTGTCAGTTTGAATTTTTATGAACTCCGGTTTCAAATTAATTAGGCGCACGGAAATCGGCGATTAAAAGCTATAAATAAAGTATCCAATTCGGTGTTAATGCGGAATTTAAATATCGTATGAAATATCAAAGCTAATTTTTATTCATGAAATAATATATATATATATATATATATATATATATATTATAGTAATGACTTTTTACTAGGATTCACACGATTTATGAAATTACCTGTGGCGTGTTGTTTTTCCTATGTCATTTATATTGAATTAACGCAAGATGAAAAATCGTTCGCATGTTTCTTCATTAAAGTATGTCTAGTTGAAAAATAATTATGCTAATAGTAGATTTTTTTAAATTGTGGATCTTGTTCATAGAGCACATGATCAATTTTTACATAACATTTCTTAAAATTATTAGTGTGATTAAAATAATACCTAATATTTTATATTTATATCCCATTAAATAGATATATACGTTATATACATATTGTTTTGTCCCAATTTGGCACCGATGAAAATATAGGATAATTATAAATGTATTACAGACGTTACTTTACTCATATATAATAGAACCTAAAAAATAAAAGAGTAACTTAATAACTCGACAGTATACTACGCCATGCCAAACTATCTCCTGATCGGCCCATAGCTGTAATTGGAACTCAATATTAGAAATTCATATTTCAAATATTGTTATGTGATTTTTTTTAAGAATTGTCAAACCTTCTCTTTTTTCCACATGACTGATGTAATATACCGTTTTTCTATGATACATATAAATGTACTATTATAAAATATTTAATGTAACCAATCCACCTTTATGCAAAATTCATTTCATATAAGAAATTTTTCTATTTATACTAATGAGATTTATTTATTTTACTTATATAGTAATAATATATAAAATTTGATTATTACAAACACGTATCAATACTAATTGTAAGCCAAAGATTATTCAATAGTAAAATATTAATTACAAATTTTACATAAAAAAAATTGGATAATATAGGATAATCATGAATAATGTCTTTTCTCATATAGAGTCTAGAAACATAAAAAAGAACTTAATAAATCGACAATATTTCAACTATTAAGTCCTATTTATACTATTAAGTTTTATTTATTTTAATTATGATATTAGTAACAACAAACAAAATTTATTTATAACAACCACGTATCGATAGCAAACCAATAATTATTCAATAGTAAAAGATAAATTACAAGTATTACATAATATATTCAATTATTACCTGTAAGTCAGTTGCAAACAATTTATGTACTAAATCTGGCATGTCGATTTGTAACCCATTGTTTAACGTACTTTTATTCAATAATAATAAATGCTAGAGAATTCTTGCAAATAATATCACTTAAACAGAGGTTCCTAACTTTTTATACATGATTTTATATGAAAAAAATAATATTTTGAAATGTTATAAAGGAAAAAATAAGTTTTCATACTAGTATTGTGCTGGTTACAATTATTTTTAACATTATAATCGAAGGGTTCCTGGATTGATTCCCATTTTGGACAGCCTGCTTTCAAGCAGTAGTTGCTTCCAAGTAAAATACCTTTTTTCCGGAATTGTTGCACTAAATCAAATGTTGAGCTTCCTAGTGGTTTATTGGTTAGAGCTTATAAGCTTTCAATCAGAAGTTCCAGGTTTGATACCCGCCTTGGTTTCAAATCACTTGAAAATATATATAATACTATATTTTCAAGTAAAAATAGCTCTTCTCCAGAATGGATGCACTCAATAAAAAGTCATCAATATTAGAATTATTCTATTACTCAGTTACCATTATGAAACCACGTTGCTATAAAAAATTGGAGATTTGTCTTGTATCTCCGCGATATTTTTTTTCTCTACAATGCAATAGGAAATATATTCTATATATGTGACAATCATTACAAGTTAGCTTTTTGTATCCGAATGCAAATTTCAAAGACTTGGCTAATACTTATCTATCCATAGAGCATTTTAATCCGATTCACCGGTGCGAGTGAATTAATATATTACTATGGGCACACCCGCAGTAAATGAAACGCATAATAAATGTTGAACTTTATATATCCGACTATGTTTATCAATGATATTTTTAAATACTGAATTTGATGAATTGATTGTACTCACCATAGCGGAGCGTGGAGTTTGCAAACGGTATAATATTTTATGAAACAGACGTAACAATAATAACATAAATCGAATTGGTAACATATACGTACGTATAGACTTTTACTCCTCGATATTGCGCGGTTGTAGGTTTTGAATTGTTCGAGCCCGAATGGTTGGTTATGGACGACGCACATGCCACCAGAAAAGGGCGATTTTGCGCTACTAACTTGGGTACTAGATTGTGACAAAAGTTATAATAGACAATGAATTATTCTAAATACCAAATTTTAAATCAGGAAATCACTGAAGATGTTAAAACTTCTTTAGCTTGAACCTTCTACATAAAGGGGGGCAGAGTCTCTGGTCTTGCGATCATAGGATTTCAAATCCAAAGTCTTCTGTTGTGTTCAAAATGTTTTCAAGTAATTGTGATATTCATTTTTAAAGATTATATTATGTGCCAAGTAAAAATTTCTGCGAAACAATTTATATCAAAAATACTAATCTATAGAATGTAAAAATATAATCAAAACTAGGAAGGACAACCATTCATTCATTCTTTTTATTTTTTTTATTATTAACAACTGTCCACTTAAGGACATTTAATAAATTTGTGGAATTTACAATTGTCGACCGTGAAGGGACATTGTATACTAAAGGGGCATATTAGAAAAACAACTCAATAGTTGTTTTCCCATTCACAATATTTTATAGTTAATTATATAATTTTAACTATTTACTTATAAAATAATTTCTTATAAATAATATCTAAGTTATTTCAATTTTTTATCAGGAGTGTTTGCAAAAATTAACAAAATAATTGTCATGAAATAAACAAATTGTAATTTATATGGAAATAAATAGCTGCTTATTTAAAATCACTTGTCGAGTATTATTATGAACAGGTTACATTATTAATTTTGACCTTATTTAGGTGTTATTATAGTAATTATAATGTACATAAAAATTTATATCAGAAAATTGTGAAATCGATCTTTAAATTCAATAGTAGTCCTATTGAGTAAACAATATACTTAATTTATGATTACAATATTTGGTTTGCATTTAATGCAAGATTTCTCAGGAACTTTCGATAGGGACGCTAAGGGATTGTTGTAACAGTTTTTTTTCCTTCAAATTAATATATCTTGAGATCCACTGATTATATTTATACATAATAAAGATGGATATTTTCCTTAGACATTTCTTTCCCGAAAAATAATTCCACAACTGTTGTTCATTACTTCTTAATTAATCAATTTTTCGATGAAAATGTGCGGTGAATCATTCAAATCGGACGCTCTGTTCTCTCAAAAACTTAATTCACATTTTTTGCTCTTTGATTCTTGTCTCCAAAACGGCTGGACCGACTTTTGCCAAAAACTAATCAGCACATCTCCTCATCACCCGCTTTGAACAGCCTTGATGTCAAGCAGTAGTGATATCGGTTTTGAATCACTTGAAAATATATATAGCAATATGTTTCCAAGTAAATTCAGCCGTTCTTCAAAATTGTTGTA